GAACTACATGGTCCTTGTTAAAAATAAACCCAATTTTTATAAAGATAACTAAAATGAAATAACAAAAAAATAAATTGTTAAAACTTATCAATATGACAGATAGCATATTTATGCAGAAGACTGTGCAACATTTCTTTTATTCCGTTTTGAGATCCTGTCTCCAGCATGATGGAAGTACCTTTTGGTTATTCGCTCCATTATTTCCACAGATTCGTTGATTTTTTGCTGGAACGCTTCTGAAATAATATTAAAAGTATATTAATCATTTTTGAGAGCTGGGCATCAACAAGTAAAGCGTACTTCTAATTTTCTCCATTTTGAGTCCCTTCTCTCACCTGAAAAAGACTTGCGTGCCAAATGAACTTTTCTCTCAAAGTTTACACTGCTGGCGAATGTAAATAAGGATTACAATTTAAACACTAATTAATCCGACTAAAGTAAAATATGTAGAAAATTACCAATAAAATACTTTTTTCGCAAAATCTATAAAGGACCCTTTTATTTCTCAAAAAACCTGGGTAACAGTTGTTCGTCGCCACGCTGTAAAGTAAAAGTACAGTTTTCTACCAAATAAAAAAAAACCCTTATTCCCACAAATTTTATTATTTATTAATAAGGCCAATAGAGTGAACTTTACCTTAAAAAAAACATTTTATATGAAAAATATTATGAATACTGAAAAAAAGATGTAGGTGGCTTAATTTTCTGAGCACAATTGTACATTGTGGATTACATATTCTGTCATGATAAAAAATTGTCATAATAAAAACGGTTTACTATCCAAATGAATGACTTTTATTTATGCTTAGATATATAAAAATTTGGGTGTGGAACCTAGACCGAAGGTTCCTCAAAAAACTTGTAGGTTTGAAGAAACGGATTCGTTTCGAGTTCACCCAACCGATTTCACCAGAGCGACGTCGTAACGACGTCGTTTCGAGTTCACCAAAACGACTTCACCAGGGCGACGTCGTAACGGCTTCACCAAAGCGACGTCGTAACGACGTCGTTTAGAGTTCACCCAAACGAATTCACCAGAGCGACGTCGTAGCGACGTCGTTTCGAGTTCACCCAAACGACTTCACCAAAGCGACGTCGTAACGACGTCGTTTCGAGTGCACCAAAACGACTTCGCCAGAGCGACGTCGTAATGACGTCGTAACGACGTCGTCTTCGCCCTGTGGCAAATTGGGACTTAACGATAACGCAGAACGGGAATCGACCCTCAGTCGTTTTTGTTTTCATTAGTTGCGTTCCAGATGCTTCACGATATTCACGATTTGCAGGAACAGCTGCTTTCTCCATTAATAAACCTTATTGAAGCTGACCACCTGGGACGACTTCCTGTAAAAACCTGCAAATCGTAAATCATCTGGAACGCAACTATTATCTATAAATAAGACTGTGAAATGCACTGAATACAATTTATTCTTTTTATATAACATACATATGTACGTACATAAAATGTGGAGTTACATAAAAAATATGTTTTTATTATTGTACTCGTTTTTACTAACTTTTTAAAAAGAGGTGTGCATGTTATCTCGAATACGATTTGCTATGGAAGGATAAGCTTTGTTCTTCCCCTCCTCCTGACGGCTTTCAAAATCGAATTCATTTGCGTTCAAGTTTTCCACTCTGTACTAAATGAAAACCTTGTGGAGTTTTCAAACAACGTTTATAATTTCACTGGCTTTGAGCGGTGGCAAAGCAGTTCAAGATGAATTTCTTATAATTCTTCACTCATCTGAAAAGGATCAAACATGTCTCTAAATCTTCGCCTTTCAACTTTGGCATCAGCAACCTGGGACTCGTTTTGCTCTTCAAGCAATAGAATTATGTTTTCACTTTAATTAAGAATAAACGAAATTTTATTTTGAAATTAAAATGAGTTAAATATATTTAGTTATTTTAAACATGTATTTACAAAGTTTAACTTAATAAGCTGCTATAGTTTGGTATATTATTTCTTTTGTTTTGTTTCGATTTTACACATTCCTAGGCAACCAGATGATTTCGAAGATGTTTTTGCTCTTCTTCTTTCGATTAGAGCATAACTCAGAATACCAAATTATGATTGTAGCTGAGCGGAATGCGGGAACGTAATCGAAATGCAGAATAGGGCTGATTAGCAAAAAAAGTGTGATTACCGCTCCGTCAGGTTTTGAAATTAGACGAATGTTTTAGAGAATTTTATGTAGTTTTTGAATATATGATTTGATATTTTCGCGCGACTTTGCAAATATATGTAATTTTTGATTTTCTTAGTTTTTGATTTTCAGCTTCTTTTTGCATAATTTCCCGAAAATAATTTTTCGCACAAAGAAAAAATCTCACCTAACATTGGGAAAAAGCGAGTATTTACACCTAAGTCATTATAAATTCCATCATATTTAATGACTGAGCCCACATTTTGTAAGAGTTTTGGCATCTTAGTACAAATTAAATTTCATTGAAATCGGATGAAATTTAATGTTTCCGCCCACAAGAGTAGAAGGCGTGGCAATTATTGCATCTTTACCAAAATTCATGATTCCCTATTTCTAAGAAAAACTAGAGCACAAGTAAAGTTTCAGTGAAATCGGTGCAGGTTTACTATTATTTCCACCTGCCTCCATATAGTCGAAACATTGTGAGTGGCAAGCAGACTTTCCCCTGTGAACTTGCAATAAAGTTCAATTCTACCATTTCCTTGAAAAGATTTTCGTGATTTCAGACCTTTAGTAAAGTTACCATGATTTATTCATATTGTTTTTGTTTTAAACACGCCTTTCCCCTTTCAAAAGTATACAATTTCATAAAATTTCAATGTCTTTTTATCATATTGCTCGAGCGTCAAACGATCTAGAGCAGAGCTTCTTAAAGTGTGTTCCGTGGAACCCAAGGGTTCGTAGAAAAGTCACCGGGGTTGCGCGAAATTAATTTTTGTATAAATAAGCACGGCGGCCAGTTTCAGTTGCACACAGAAAGAAAAGTTCTATAAACAGCTTGACCGAGACGCAATTATCTATTTTCAAGTATACATACATATGTACTCGTAGTTAGTACCTACGATTGCCGTACTGAGTACCATACCTGCATAAAAGCGTTGAGCTTGCGCTTGATAGCTTGTTTTTTTTTCTAACTGGTATGTGTGCCGCTGTAACCAAAAGGTTATATACAAGTTTCTACAAGGAACGCGACGAATTGACAAGTAAAATTTCATAACTAGGCTCTTGGTAAATCACCTGAAATCTTTGTCAGAGTATTTTTCGGATGGTAGTAGTAATATCGGTTTAGTAACAAATCCATTTACGAAGCATTCGTAGATCTTCAGAGTACTTCGACATTGAGATACACATTTGAATCTGTGTCTCTGAAAAAGTTTTGGGTTAGTGTTAACAGTAAATATCATGAAGTCGCCAAAAAGGCATCCTACCTTTGCTTCCTTCTGTCATAATGTACTCTGTTAACAGGGTTTTCAGCTTACACTTATACAAAAAACAAATGCACGCCTAAATTTTATGCTACCCCAGAATTGCGCATACAGCTTTCAGACACTATATCGAACTACTATTTTATACAATAATTAATAACAGTGAAACAATTTCATTCTTTACATTAAAATTTAAAGTATGTATACTATTTCTAGTAAAAGTTTTTATTCATATATAAATTGCACTGCCTTTGATTTTTAGTAATTTGATGTGGGGTTCTATAAAATGAATGGTGTTTGGTAAGGGTTCTGTTGGGGTAACTAGTTTGCACCCACAAATTACGCAAAAAACCGAAACGAAGAATTATGCCAACAACTAAAAGAAAAACCAAAGTCAAAAATGCAGGGCGGCAAAACTAAAACCAAAACTAAGCGAGCGAAATTAAAAAGATGTTGCTGCGTGGGTGTCACAAAGTATATTGAATTCAAATTTTACATAAATTAGGCTTACAAGCTAAGTTTGAGTATGCATATAATATGTATGTATGTGCGTATGTATGCATGCACTGGAAGGCCACGCAGGGCTGCATTAAAATAGTAATTCAGTTTATCTTTAAGGATGTACCGAAGATGTACATCTGAAATTAGATACAATACATTCAACTGATACAAATTCAATAACTTTAAGCATAAGCATGCATAAATACTTATATACATACATAAGTACATACATATTTAGTGTGGATAAAAATTCAATTGAAGTACAATTCATTAACAAATTAAATTTCATAGAAAGAGATAAACACTACTGTGCTCCAACATTCCGCCCCGTTGAATGACCATCGGTCTTCAAGTAGTGTTATTTGGGAGCAGCGCAAGCTTGTGAATGGCACGCCGATAAATGCCCGCCGTTGTTTTAATGTCCGCGACTCGCACCTTACCGTCGGCGCCAGTTTTTATATCTATTACTCGACCGGCAAATTCTCTTCGTGTATTATGACCAGGTTGCCGATTTCGATGTTGAGTTGCGGCTTGGCCCATCGCGTTCTGGTCTGAAGACCCAGGATGTAATCCCGTTGGAATTCTGACCAGAATCGTCCCTTCAGGTATGATACTCGCTGCCAGCGATCTAAATATGTCCAGTTGTTGGCTGTTGGCTGTAGCTCGGGAACGGCCATTAGGGAATCGCCTATTAATAAATGTGCGGGCGTTATGGCTTCGCCGTCGTTGGGATCGCCCGATCCCGCGATTGGACGAGAGTTCAAAATTGCCTCCACGCCGACGAGTACCGTGGAGAGCTCCTCGAACGTTAGGGCGGTGTCGCCTATTGTGCGAAGCATTAGGTGTTTGGCGCTCTTGACGGGTGCCTCCCACAGTCCGCCAAAATGAGGTGCGCGCGGGGGTATAAAAACGAATGCGGCTCCTCGCTCTGCTGCGAACGCTGCGACTTCCTTGCGCTTGCCTTCCCCGAACATTATCTCTTTCTGCTCTTTCAATATCGCGTTGGCGCCCACGATGTTGGTGGCGTTGTCGCAATATATCCTCACTGGAACTCCCCGACGACCGACGAACTTTTTAAAGACAGATAAAAATGCATTAGTGGATAAATCAGACACAGATTCGATGTGTACAGCTTTAGAATTAAAGCACACGAATATGGCAATGTAGCTTTTATAAGGAGGTCGGCCTCTTATTTTATGTGTTGTATAAACTGGACCAAAGAAATCAACTCCACAAAAAAGAAATGGTCGAACCGATCGCAACCTGTCTGGCGGTAAATCACCCATTATTTGGTTCATTAATTTGGGCTTGTATCTGAAACAAAGTATGCAGTTGTGTACTACTTTTCGCGCTAATTCTCTAGCATTTATGACCCAGATTTTCTGGCGCATTAGTCCGACTAGTACTTTTGGACCCGCGTGGCAATTCGACCTATGTAAGTATTCAACATATTTATAAACGAAATTTGAAGACTTTAACAACAATAGCGGAAATTTAGTATCTTCAGGAAATTCTGAGTTTTTTAAACGGACTCCAACTCTCAGCAGTGATAAACTACGATTTTCCTCCTGATGTGGCTGAATAAATGGACTGAGTTTTTGATATTATCTGGCGGAAACTCGTCATTTTGTAATTTTGCAATGACATCACTGAATTCAACTCTTTGAACAGACTCAACAATTTTGAGAAATGACCAGTTGTATTCAGCGGTAGTTATTTCAATACTTTTAGTATTTTTTAGAGGCTTTATTAGTCTATATATGTAAGAAACGATGCGTAAAATTTTATTAAAAGAGGAGATGTTATCAACAATTTTTAGTATAACATTCTCTGTTGCGACTTCACCACTTATAATAACGTTTTTTACTGTTTTTAGCTCCAAATGCATATTTTTCTCTAGAGGTTCAAATTTCGTATTTTTTGGCCAATGAACTTTTTCCTGTTTTAAGAAACTAGGACCTTTTAACCATAACGGCTGAGTTAGTTCCTCAATGGTACAACCGCGAGACGCCAAATGTGCTGGGTTTTGCTTTGTTGGAACGTGTCTTCAAGTTACATCGCTTGTGCTCTCTTGAATCTCCGCTACTCTGTTTGCGACAAATGTGGATAAAGTTGAAGAGTGTTTTTTTAACCAATAGAGCAGTATTTCTGAGTCGGACCAAAAAGTTATATTTTCAAGCGAGTTTTTGAATAGCGGCTTAACAACTTTCCACAGTTTTGTCAATAGTAGCGCTGCACAGAGTTCCAATCGAGGAAGACTTTTTGTTTTCAACGGTGCTACTTTGGATTTGGCTGTCAATAGATGTGACGTAACACTGTTCTGTTTGCTTCGAACGTATATACAACAACCATAAGCTCGTTGCGAGGCATCACAGAAGCCATGTATTTGAACTTTCTCAGTGGGTAATATATTAACAAATCGGGGTACTTCTATTTTGTGTACCTGTGCCAAATTTTCTGCCAAATTTTGCCATGAAGTGCTCAAATTTTGGGGAATTGACTCATCCCATGCCAACTTTAAGAGCCAGAGTTCCTGCAATAAAATTTTGACATGTACAATGATAGGGCAAAGCAAGCCTAGTGGGTCGAATATACACGACGATACTGATAAGATACTTCTTTTTGTCGCTTTTATATTTACCGAGTTTGGATCAATTTTGAAGTTTATCCTATCTTTCTTAGGAGACCACGTAACTCCGAGCGCCTTTATCATGCTATTTCTGTCATCTTTCAACGCTTTTTCATAATTCTCCTTTTTTAGTAGACTGGGATGATTGGAATGCCACTTTGCTAGTTTAAATCCTCCAGAGTTTAGAATTTCGACAACTTCTTTTTGGATTTGCTTTAGTTCCGTAATATCATTGGCTCCAGATAACATATCATCCACGTAAAACTCTTCTCGTATAACCTTACAACCGAGTGGATATTGATCTGCAAACATGTCACTCAGTTGTTGTAAACAACGAATCGCTAAAAATGGAGCAGGCGGTGTTCCGTAAGTTACTGTATTTAGGCAATACGTTCGAATCGGTTCATCGGGGCTATGTCTATATAAAATTAATTGAAATTTTTTGTCATCATCACTAATAGCTACTTGACGGTACATTTTTGTTATATCTGCGGTTATAGCCCATTTTCGACAACGAAAGCGTAATAATGTGGTGAATAATTCAGGCTGTATAGTTGGACCAATCATCAGAAGTTCATTTAATGAAACATGTGTCGTACTTTTACAAGACGCATCAAATACTACTCTCAGTTTAGTAGTTTCAGCATCTGGTCTTAATACGCACTGATGTGGAATAACATAATGTGGAAAATTTAAGTCTATGTCCTTTATTTGTGACATGTGGCCTAGTTGAATATATTCTTGCATAAAATCATTGTACATATTGTGTACATATTGTATACATCTGGCGTTCTTAATAATTTTCGTTCAAGTGATAAAAATCTTTTACGGGCAATATCAAATGTTAAACCAAGGGTTGATGGGTCTTTTTTAAATGGCAATCTTACTTCAAAACGACCACTAGGCAGAATTTTTGAATTTTCTCTAAAACACGACTCGCAACTCAATTGTTCTGGCGTTAAATTCGACTCGCAACTTGGAACCTCCTCTATTTCCCAAAATCTTTGTAGCAGCACGTCTACGCCTTGATCGTCTATCACATTTTCTTCGCCTGTGACTGCAGTCAAATCACATATCGCCCGTTGCAATTTTGGACTGGCGTTGCATCTGCCTGACACAATCCATCCAAGTTTTGTCTTTTGCAACGTAAGCAAATCCGAATTTAGTTTTATTTGACCAACTGATAATAAATTAAAGAAAATTCCTGCTCCAAGTAACACATCAATTCTTTGACGTTTGTGAAAAAGTGGGTCTGCTAACTCCACATTAGGTGGAATATTCCAATCAACAGTGGCTATATTTTCTTTAGGTTGATAGCAAGAAATTGATTTAATGACCCAAAACTCACCACTTTCCTCATAATTATTAATGCGAGATTTTATTGAAGTTGAAACTTTGCCCTTAATATTGGCCTCAATTTGCCCAACTCCAGCTATTTGCAGTTCTTTGCGCTCTCTTTTCAAATTAATCCTCTTCGCTGTCTCTTCACTAATCAAATTTATCTGTGATCCAGAATCTAACAGTGCTCGAGCAACTATGTATTCGCTGCATTGGTTTTTGATATTAACTAGAGCCGTTGCCAGTATGACAACCTCTTCTGAGACCGAAACATGGCTTACTGAACCTTGAGGTCTATTTGTGGCGGAAGGAGCATTCTGTGCAGTTGAAGCTGTCTGATATTTATGAAGTAGCGAATTATGTGGACGTTGGCAAACCCGACAGCGCGCGGAGCGGCTGGAATAAACGCTATGGCCCATTTTTAAACAATTTATACAAAGCGCGTTTTTCTTAGCAAAATTAAATCTTTCTCCTACTGCAATATTTGCAAGTTAACTACAAGTTATGATTGAATATCCCTTTATTTTGCAATATGAACATTTATTGGCATTCGTTTCGGTTAAGCTAAATGATGCTTTTTCATTACGCCGTTCTATAGGTTTGCCATTCTTGAAATTCGAAGGTTTAGCTGGCTTATGCTCATTAACCTCTAGTGATTGACAACGCCTTATGAGAACTTTAGCGCAATCATTCCACGTTGGCAGTTTTGAGTAATCTAACTGATCGTTCCACTTTGCCCTTGTTGGCCCATCAACCTTAGACATGGCTAAATGAATGAAAAGTGCATTAACTATGTCACACTCGGTGCCTAGTGAGTGAAGCGAGTCGTAAATGGCCGAAATCGTATCTACGGCGTTGCGGAGGAGGGACGCATTCGGATTCACAATTTTTGATATATTAAATATTTCCTGGCGGCGTGCTGTGGTGCAGTGGTAAGCAGTGCGCGCTTCCACTCCACAATGCCTGGGTTCAAACCCTGGTCAAAGCAACATCGCAAAAATATAGAAAAAAGGTTTTTTCTTAACAGCGGTCGTCCCTCGGCAGGCAATGGCAAACCCCCGAGTGTATTTCTGCCATGAAAAACAGCTTCTCATAAAAATACAATCGCCGTTCGGAGTCGGCGTAAAACTGTAGGTCCCTCCGCTTTGTGTGACAACATCAAGGCGCACGCCACAAATCGGAGGAGAAGCTCGGCCAAACACTAACATATGTGTAAGCGCCAATCTATTTAAATATTTCCTCTATACTGTCAAAGAATATTAAGCATTTTTTATCATATCGCTCAGCCAACCTCTCTATCGCTTTCGTATAATTTGCTTCAGTAATTTGAAATGCTTTTACTGTGTGCAGAGCTTCGCCCGATAAACAACTAATTAAGTGATTAAACTTTTCAATATTTGAGAGGGAGGGCTCGTTATGTACTAAATTTGTAAAAGTGCCAATAAAGTTTTTGTAATCGGCATACTTGCCATTGAAAATCGGCAACTTCAAATTGGGCAAACGATTTGCTGGAGGAATTGCAACACTAAATGTGTTTTCCAGAACTGAACTATCACGACTTCTATTTCGGCCAAGTAAAGAGAGTAATTTCGATTTTACAGAAACGCATAAATCTTCTAGTTCACCGCGCCTATCAACCTCCGTATCTATCTTTTCGATTTCTGATTGATAGGCCATTATTTGTTTAATATACGAATTTAAAATATCTAGCCTGCACTCAAGGTCTATTGGGTTCCATACGGTCGTAGTATCATCAAGCAAATTTTTGATGCGAGTAATATTTTTGCGGGAAGAAGACCGCTGTTGCTTTAATGTAGCAAGTGAAAGCGCTACAGCTGCGCTATTTTTATTGGTAAGTGGCATTGTGAATTGTTAATTAATCAAACGATATAAATCAACAACGAGAGATACGCAATATATCTTAGCCTTTAATTACTTAAAACTGTATGCAATATACTTTTAGTTTCAAGTTAAAATCGAGTAAATCGTTTGATATTTAAAATAGTTTGTAATAAACCTTTAATTCAACGAGGCACAATAAGTTTGCCAAATTTCCAAAATAATTTTATTGAAGACCTTTAATTTGGTTGGCAATAACCCGAATTTATCACAAGCCGCTTTATCCACGCAAATGTAACGACCAAGAAAAATGTTGAAATCAAACAAAATATTGACCACCTTAATGCTGATTATGTACAAAGTTATAAAATTTTGCCAACTGTACGTATTATTGAATGTATATGCAGTACCGTATAGCGAACTGTATCGCCTGAGGTAAACTATCGCGAGATTTATGTACATGTATATGTACTTATTTACATATGTGCATACGTATGTATGTATGTACATGCAACCAACAGTATGTAAGTAGGCCGGTTTTACGGTTTATATGTATCGATGCTCTTTAAGCTAACACAATAAGCAATATGCACTTCTAGCAGCGGGATTTAATGTAGCATTTATTTAAGCGCACATATGTACATCCGTATAAGTGAAGATATGTATATAACAACCGCAGAGCAACCGCCGTGACCTTATCTATTATGCGTACAATGTAATGCACCGCAAACGTCCTCAAAGCACCGATGTCCAGCAGCACAGCAACAGTACCCAGCAGTTTTCGCTTTTAAAGCGCTCACCACCAAGATGCAGTCACTCCAACAATTCCCCGTCACTCCAATAGTGACTCCAGAACAGTGACTCCAGAGTCCAGCAAAAATTTATTTTTATTTTTTATTTAATGCACCCACACAGCCGCGAAACCGGTGCAATATTTAATTTATTTTAAAAACCACGAAGTTCGCACGACAACAAAACGAATTTAAAATAAACTTGCCGTCCTGTCACGGTCGCCAATATGTTGGGGTAGCTAGTTTGCACCCAAAAATTACGCAAAAAACCGAAAGGAAAAATTATGCCAACAACTAAAAGAAAAACCAAAGTCAAAAATGCAGGGCGGCAAAACCAAAACTAAGCGAGCGAAATTAAAAAGATGTTGCTGCGTGGGTGTCACAAAGTATATTGAATTAAAATTTTACATAAATTAGGCTTACAAGCTAAGTTTGAGTATGCATATAATATGTATGTATGTGCGTATGTATGCATGCACTGGAAGGCCATGCAGGGCTGCATTAAAATAGTAATTCAATTTATCTTTAAGGATGTACCAAAGATGTACATCTGAAATTAGATACAATACTTTAGCCACAAAAAAAACAACAAAAGCAAAATTTTATTTTTAAATAAAATTATTATTAGAAATGTAAAATGTAATTTTTTTTTGTTCTAATGTACGTAAGATAGATATTAAATAAAAATAAAAATATCCCTTTGGCCAAATTTTTAAAATCTGTTTTTATGTAACAGGTTTTTTAAATATTGGTTAGTCAATAGGTACAATCTTTTAAAATATCCAGTAAACAATTTCCAAAAGCAAAATTCCGGCGAAATGTCATCTGTTCTCTGACAAGAGAAACATATCGAAAATAGTACGCGAACAAAAAATTTGCAGAAAGTTGCAAGTTAGACAAACATCTGATACAGATTTTGTTTACATTCAAAAGTATATAAAGGCTAAAATTTTTCCAGCAGAAACTAGCAGCTTTCACTTAAAATGAAATGTCATTTTGCTCTCTCAATTTCCACTACCTTGCAAGTTTGTTGCGTACGCGAACACAAAATGCTGATAGTTTTTATAACTTTTAATAATTATCAGGTACGCGAATGCAACTACCCAGCAAAAAAACACGATTACCACAGAAACGAAAGTGGAAACGAGCTAGGCGATGGAAATCGCTTACCCTTTCGCTTCAAGAAGGCATTATTTAAACATGCGCATGTCATTGTTGGTAAGCCCTTACTCGCAGCATTACCTTCACACGAAGGGAGAACGCATGGATAAACATAATCCAGAGAAGCGAACAAACAATGCCTTACAGAGAAACTAATGTAGAATGCCTAGATAAGTACATACTTATTTATATTAAATTGAAATCAGAAAATGTCTTAAAAGATTAAAATTAATTAAATTTTTACATATCAGTTTTTATACATACATATGTATGTATTTAGGTATTTAGATTTTACTTAAAAATCGTTATGTAAATACATGCATATTTAATTAAGCTTAAAATTGTACTTCCTCACTCCTGTACTTCACTTCATTGACTGATTTCAACTTCGCTGCAAATTGAACAAAGCAAAACATGATTTTTATGCGAGACAAATTTCCAGAGAAAGTAACAGTAGAAAACGAATTTTTGGATATGGATATTTTCATACGTCGCATACGTGACAGTCATACGTTTCAATGTGATACAAACAAGAAATAAAATTTGTTTTCTTCAACTTTTTTGGGCCATTGTATAGCACATAATTAGCTCTATATCTATGGCTATTTTCATGAAACTTATTTTAATATAATTTGGAGCAATTCTAGTTGTGTTTAGAGTTGTTTGAATTAATGAAACTTGTTTCAATTTTCGTTTACAGCCCCAATTTACATCGTTATATTTTTGTTAATATTGCTTTTAAATGAATTTTTAACGAAAATAAAACATGTATTTTATGTAGAATATACTTTATATTTTGACTTCAGCGCCAATTCAGGGTTAATTTGTTGGAAATCTATGACTTATTATGTTTCAACTACATACGCCAAATTCGAGCCAAATCGGACCATAAATACGGTTTTTCGAAATATCTCAACCTTGGTGCCACCGAGGAAGACCATTTTACGCAAACATGATTCTACTTAGATAGCCAGTATACATTTTAAAAAGCAGGCAAATCGGCCCGTAAATACGTTAGATATAAGATTTTATTTATTTTTTTGTCGTGGTGGACCTTCCGATGGAAACACCCATATTCTATTTTTCAGTTGACTACGATGCAGCATTCTACTTTGCATTCTCCGAAGTGAAGCAAAGAAGCGAAATAAAAAAATATTGTAGGACATTCTACTTTGCATTCTACGAAATGGAGCAAAGAAGTGAATTCAAAAAAAATATATATTATAGGACATTCTACTTTGCATTCCCCGAAATGGAGAAAAAGAAGCGAAATAAATTAAATATTGTAGGACATTCTACTTTGCATTACCGGCAATGCCTAGAAGATGCGAAAAATTCGAAGGCACTATAACGCTATGCCTTCTAGAATACGTTACCACTAAAAGCGATTGCTGATTTTTTGCTGGGTAATTGTGAACGGTATTTTGACTTTACGAAATTCATTTTAGAGTACAAAGACTCATATTTACGCTACGCGCGCCCTGCAGCCGATATCGGCCGCTATATGGGGGCGATATGAATAAACACTTGTGATTATATGGGCGCTCTCACACTTAAACCGATAACTGAACCGACATCGCACAGTGGTCAATAAATGGAATTTAATGTTCATAATTCACTGGAGCCTTCATTTCTCAACCAATTTGATTAATTATTTTTTTAAATGAAAGCTAATGAAATTTTCAAGAGACTAGTTGAGCCCAATTCTTTTTTTATATTAAATTTTTTAGTGCAAAGTGCAGAAAACGTGCCAATTTTGAAGAAGATCGATCTCCTGTTCCTGTTAAAAAAAAAAATACGTAATAAAAGCTAGTTAAAACCAATTTTAGGGTTCTCCCAAAATGAAAAAAATAAAAAGTAATAATTTGAAAAATTATAAAAAACATTTTACCAAAAATATTTTTTTGGTTTTTGGTTTTTATAAACATTTTGGGTATGCAGTCTTATATATCATTCAATTTTAGTATAATAAAGTGTAAGTTGCAAGTCGCTAAGAGTTCGCGTTGATTTTTAATAATTTGTTCGCTAACATTTCGAGCAGATATCAACAATTGAAAATTTTTGCAGTGTTTTGGAAATTTTTATTTTTCTTTGAAAGTAAGTGTCCGAATGAAAATTTTTTTTGGGGGCAGATTTAAGAAACATTGAACTATACAATGAAACTATTTTCGTTACAAAATTTTTTTTTGCTTTTCTTGGTAATAATAGGTTAATCTTGGTAAATTCGGGGCCCACTTGAGAAAGCCTTACCCATACCAAGATATTATTAAAAACAAGTACTCTGGCGTTTCAAAATATTATCTGCTACTTCCATTCATAATTCTGCTGTACTGAAAAGTACTGAGTTTTACAGCATGAAAAAGTCCAATGTACTGATTTCGCGCCAAAAAAATCTGGCAACCCTACTCAAACCTGAGATCTCAGAACCAGAATCGGTGTATTCACTCGCCACAGCCAACATTTGTGATGAAAGCAATTAACCGCGCGTGTAAGTTGTTAAAGTAAAGAAGTAAATTAATTTAAATAAATGTTTCAATTTAAATATAAAATAAAAATTGTACATAAATATTTGGAAAAAACCTAAATACTCAAATACCATAAAAAATGAAAAAAAGAAATAAAATTTTGTTCTTTTTAAAACAATAAATTTAAAAATTACAAGAGATAAATAAAAAATTAAAAAAAGATTCGCTCGCCGAGATTCGAGCTCGGATGTCTTGATTTGGCGTGCCAAAGCTTTAGAACGCGGTTACCCACGAACGTGTACATAGCGTAGCGTAGAAGTACGTAGAAAGATATCAAGCATGCTGTTGATAGAAAGAGAGAGAAGCTACGTCTACGTTACGGTCATGCGGTGGTGAGTTTTTGTTAACACGCAGATCCCATAAGATAGATCATGTCAGCTGACACGTTCTCCGTTTTTACGTCCGTGGATAACTGCGCTTTTACTCTGTTGGCCATTGCCACTGTAGCAGCGCAGCGAGCAACATGACATACTTAGGCTATCTGCACACTTGTCGTCTAATAATGGTTGCGTTATCGTCTCGCCCTGAAATTTTGAGCGGAGCACATGCATTTCAAAGGAGATCTGCACACTTGTCGTTATCGGCTAGTTATCGGCAAATCGTAGAAGATGCAGAAACGGATAAGTACGGCACTGTCGTATGCTAATCGTTGTTCACGCATTGTTTATTTACATTTTATGGGGAAAAATTAGTGAAAAAGTTAATATTTGCATTAAAATCGCAAAAAAAAATAGTATTGTTTGCATCAAATCAGTGGAAATTATCAAAAAGTGGATAATTGCATTAAAATTCAATAAATGTGAGCGTTTTAACTATAAAATATGACGAAATTGTAAAAAGTCTCTGTGTGCATGCTCAAAACACATTTCAGGAAAAGAAAAAAAAGATATTGCTGAAAAATTAAATATTTCGCGAAAATATCAACAAGAAAAACAGAAAATACCTGCTCCAAGTGCATTTTTAGACGCCAAATGAATTGAAATATCACGACCGAGTGTGCGAAAGTGTAGTCGTCATGTAATCGTTGCATCATGATTGTGACGATGAAGCAACTATGATTGGACGACCAATATGCAGAAAGCCTTTTGCTTTTCCCGGGGGATGAATAGGCAGTCTATCCCGTCAACTGGTATGATGTTGCTAGTAGTTGCTGGTAGCGTGCTGATGCAGAAGCGGACAATTGACATCTCCTATGACACCGCCATGTTAAAAATACTCGCCGCTAACATTGAAAAAGGATACAACGTGAATTAGTTGTGCTGAAACACAAACTGGTAACATTCTGGTTCACAACTAGTAGCTTTCCCTGCAGGGGACTTGTTCGCACGCACACAGTGACATCAATTGCACGCACACTACAAAAATGCTCTGCCTAAGCTGCCCACTTCTGCTCTATAGACAACATTTAGCTTTATTTTACCTACGGAGTCACAATTTTCATAAACCTGACATCCATATAATAGCGTAGGTATTAAGTACGCTTTAGCTAAGAGTAATCTTATACGGTTGACAAACGGGCTCGATTATTTGCATAAACAGCCTTTTTTGCTGTTACTCATGCATTTTCCTCTTTAAAATGCGCATAAGCGCCGAACAAATGCACGATATTTTTGGGAATTAACTCGGAGCCGGGTAATTTTCGATGACAACCAGGGTGTCCAGATAGCGCAAATTTCTCAAAAAAAAA